CCCCGTGGACCAGGGGCCGACCGCCCCGGCCTCCCCAGAGGCCTACATCACAACAGTATGTAGAGGACCTCCAGATGGGGTCCGAGTAGGTGGGTCGGAGGATGGCGCCGCATCGCCTGTGCAGCGGCGACGTCCGCGTGGGCAGGACTGGGCTCCACATGCATCGCCAATGCATCGGCGATGCGGCGAAATCCTCCGACCCCATCTACGCCGACACCATCTGGGAGGCGTGAAGTGTTCTAAGAACTATGTTTTTTACAACGCAGGGCCGATGTCGCAGAACAGGGTTATGACAGCCAGAAATAGCACAATAACATCTCGTAGAGGCAAATACAAACTCTTAAAACAGTATTTGGTGCGCCTGTAGCCAGGACGTGGCGTTTCGCGGGCAAACTCCCTGGGCGTCGCGGGCCGGCCGCGACCCCGCGAATACGGGAGGTCGTTTCGCGGTTGCCCCGCAAAGATCGAAGCCGCGCGGCCGCGTATCGGAGCAGGGCGGTTTAAGACAGTGGGAGTTCAAAACCGGTCCCTTGGACCTCTCCTGCGGTCCACACGCACCAGTTTTCAGCGCTGCGTCCAGCCGCGGGCTTGTCTCAACTCGCCCTCCACTGATCACCGTCGTCACCGCCGTCGTTGCCGTCGGCTTTCGGTTCGCAACTCGGCTGCCCGGCGGCCGTTCGGGACGATCCGAACACCCCCAGAACGCGCTCTCGGCGAGGCGCAGCTGATGGAAGGCGCCCCGAAACTGGAAAACCATTGAAAACCAACGGAAACCAACAAAAACGACCGAAAACCTATAGTTCAACCAAAAATCTGAACGCATCCGCGGGGCACGCGGCCCCAAGGAAGCTTGGCGACGCGCGGCACCGGAGGGCGGAAGGAGCGCCAGGCGTTGCGCAGTGAGTGTCCCGGCGCGTTGGCGCATCTGGGCGAGCCTCGGGGCGCTGCGCGCGCTGCCCGCCGCGCCTTTGTTATCAGCAGCAACAGCAGCAACAGCAGCAGCAGCAGCAGCCTCATCATCATCATCATCATCATCATCATCATCATCATCATCATCATCATCATCATCATCATCATCATCATCATCATACTCATCATCATCATCATCAGCAGCAGCAGCAGCATCGGCATCAGCATCAGCATCAGCATCAGCATCATCATCATCATCAGCAGCATCACCATCATCATCACCAACCGCAACCGCATCATCATCAGCCTCATCATCCGCATCATCACCACCAGCCATGACCATCATAATCATAAGCATCACCACCACCAGCCATCATCGTTTTTCAGCATCGCCATCACCATCACACGCGGAAGCAGCAACATGATCATCAGCATCAGCATCATCATCATAACCAGCATCATCAGCATCATCATTATCATCTTAACAATCATCATCACCATCACCATGCGGATTTGCATATCTACCATAATCAACAACGTCGCCTTTATCCGCATCAAGATCATCACCAACACGATCACAAGCGTCATCAGCATCGTCACGATCATCGTCCATACCGCCGTCATTCATCGTCGTCATCGTCGCCTTTGTCGTCGTCGTCGCCATCGTCATCACCATCACCATCACCACCACCATTGCCATCAAAAGCAACTCCGTGCACCGCCCGACGCACAGCACGCCATGCTCTGGGACCATGCCCATTGTCCCCATCGTCATCGTGAGCAACGCGATCATCAGCATCACCATCACCAACACCTTGCCTTTACCATCACATTGATTTTGGTCAGCGACACCATCATCATCGTCACAATCCCCAACACAATCGTGATTAGTATCGTACTTACCGTCACCATCGGCATCATCGCCCCCACCAGCCACCATCATCTTCAGCATCATCTTCAGCATCATCATCAACATCATCATCATCATCATCATCATCAGCATCAGCATCAGCATCAGCATCAGCATCAGCATCAGCATCAGCATCATCATCATCATCATCATCATCATCATCATCATCATCAGCATCAGCATCAGCATCATCATCATCATCATCATCATCATCATACTCATCATCATCATCATCATCATCATCATCATCATCATCATCATCATCATCATCATCATCATCATCATCATCATCATCATCATCATCATCATCTCTCAGCATCGCCATGCCATCATCAGTAGCATAGCCATCAGCATCGTCATGATCATCAGCTTCATCAGCAACATCATCATTATCACCATCAACATCACCATCGCTATCACCATCACCATCAAAATCAACATCCTCATTCTGACCCACCTCATCATCACCACCCGGAACATCGGGCTAACTGTCCCTCTATGTCTGGTCTGGTTCGGCCGTGCAAACACAAGCGCTGCGAGTCGTGCAAAGGGCAGGCGTGACCCCGTCCTGATTGAGGACACGGCAGTGGGACAACTGCCCGCTGCGCGTGCCCGCGCTGCGGGGGCGGGGTCTCGCAGCGGCGAAGCAGTTCCCAAGGCCCCCACATCACCACGCGTTCTCTTCCTCCCAGCCATTCTCCATCCCTTCTCTTCCTTCTCCTGCCCCTCGCCCCCATCCTCCCTCATACTCCTTTCTCCTCCAACATCCATTCGTCCTCCCTGCTGTTCCGTCTCCTCCCCTTCCCCTCCTGCTTCAGCCGCGTACGGTTTTCTACACGCGAGAATGTCCCGGGCTGGCTCTCGAAACGGACACAGCCTTTCTCAATACAGAACGCTCTCGTCTTCAAACCTTGGGCTTCCTGCTGCGGCGACGGCCACTTTTCAGCATGGGGCGCTCTGCTCCGCCAGTTCTGCAAGTCGCTCTCGCCCTCTGCGCGGGCCCTATTCTGGATTCGACGCCTTCCTCGTCATTGCCGCCCACTGCTCTCGCCACATCTGCCTTCTCCTGGTCCTCCTGCTCTTCCCGCTCCTCTTATGGTGCTGCTCCTCCTCCCCCTCCTTCCACAGATTCCACTTCCTCCTGCTCATCCTCCTGCTCATCGGCCACGAGCCTCCTCCCCCTCCAGTGTGCACAACTCATTTTTCTGATTGCGCATCACACGATGGGGTCATTTGTGGAACCCAAATAAGATGGGACACCCGTGAGCGGATAGGGGATAGTGAGCTCAATGGGAGTGGATGGGTGGAAGGGGTAGTATGAAGGATATGCCGCGAGCGCACCCAGCTCGTCCCTCTCTTCCTGCTCCTTGACCCTGCTCCTGCTCCTGCTCCTCCTCCTTCTAGTCCTACTCCTCATCTTCCCCCTCCTCGGACTGGGAACGACGGCCCGAACGGCCGCCTCCCCCCCCACGCGCCGGGTCCTACGCGAGCTAGGCGAAGAGCGACACGACGCTGTCGGAGTGTCCATAGAACGTCTCCTGTGCAGAATCGAAAACCTAAGCCTTGCCGCGCGGATGCCCGCGGGCCCAACGCCAATCCGAAAAACCCGCGTCGTCATCAGAAAGTGTACGGTATGTTCGTGCGGCGTCAGCGCGCGCAAAGATGTTTGACACCCCTTAGATCGCCCAACCTTGAATCGATCGCGGTCCCGATCGTTCAAGGTTGAATTTCGTCGGGTGCAATGGCGTCGCCGTGCCCCTTGGTGCTTCCGCGTGGCAGATTGCAACCTTGAACGCCTTCGCCGGCGTCGCCAGCGCGCCATCGCCGCATGAACCTACCGTATGTTGATGTCGTTAGTTGGTTCTCTCTCCTCGCACTCGAGCGACTCCAAGCTCCACAACTTCATGGTGTAGTCCGCGGATCTGCAGCACGGGAGAGAAGCATCGGCGAGGGGTGAGGCAGAACTCCAACGAAGCGGCCCTCCCCCGCCGGGGAACCGACCTCGGCTTCGGCTCGCGTCGGTCGTGCAGGCGATGCGAAACTGCGCGAGATCCTGCATTGATCCCAGAAGCCCGATGGGCATATGTGCATCTGTAGTTGAAGGAGTTTCTTCTTCCAATAAAAGCGAAACGCTGTCGTCAGAAACCCTAAATAAGGAACGAGGTCCCTTGTGTCCGTAAGTTAAGCTTCGATTTCCCATGCAAGACCTGAGGACAACCCAAGAAAAGCTGAGAAACACTTGAGGAACACTGAGCCCCTCCCCAACGAAAAGGGTTCCTTCTTCAGTGGCCCGACTGCAAGATGGCGCAATATGACTTCCAGTGTCTCCACGAGGCCACCAAGCCAACTTAAGACAGATCCAAGCAGCCACGGAGCGCCCAAAGAGGACATCCGATGGCCCAACTCCCTCACAACCACAGTGTTTCCTGGACTTGCGCCGTCTCGCCTTCTCGCTTCCGATGGGCCCAGGCCCAAAGATCCACCCAGATAGCCCCGAGAGGGGTCCTGGAGAGGCCTGCCACGACCCAGAGCGGCCCAAGGGGGCCCCAAGAAGCGACCTTTCGAGCTCCAGGGGCGCCGATGATCGGCGCAACCCCCTCTCTTCTTCGATGGCCTCAAGGGTGGCCTGACAGGTCCAGAGGAGGAGGAGGAGGAGGAGAAGGAGGAGGAGGAGGACGAGAAAGAGGTGGAGGAGGAGGAGGAGGGGGACGAGTGGGAGGAGGAGAACGAGAGGCCCAAGATGACCCGAAGGGCTCCCAAAAGAGTCCACAGACGCTGCCCGCCTTCCTCCCCTCTCCCTCCCTTTCCTCCGCATCTCGGCCCTCCTCCTCCTCCTCCTCCTCCTCCTCCTCCTCCTCCTCTCCTCCTCCTCCTCCTCCCCCTCCCCCTCCCCTCCCTCATCCAGAACATGTCCTGATCCCTGGTTTCATTCTCCATCCTCCCTCTCTTTTGTCCATGTTCCTCTCTCCCTCCCTCCTTGCTCGTCTCCTCGTGGCGCACAACGTAGGCAGCGCAGGCACAAGGGAATTGACCTGATTTCTAGGCAGCGAAGGCCGCCGCAGGCCCAATCGGAAGAGCAGACAAGGCGGACAGTGGCAGCTGCGAAGCCGAGTAGCAGACCCACTGATCAACATGTTCCTGTCGAATCTGCCGCGGACCGTGGTCACGCTGTCCGCGTGGCCTCCGGTGGGGCGTTGTGTACGGGCACGTTCGACTCCTCTTTCCCCCCTTGGAAGAAAGGGGGGAGCAGTAGGGATAGATGAGGGAGGAGGACGAGGAGGGAAGGAGGGGGGGAAAGGGAGCAGGAACGAGAGAGGAGTGGAGGAGAAGGAATAAGGGGGGAGGAAGAGGAAGAAGAAGAGGAGGAGGAATACCAATGTAAACCCGCAACTCATCAACGACTTGCTATAAACCGTCCGTCCCTCCAAGCTCTCTCACCATACGCTCCTTGAAAGGTGCGTGTCCGTTTAATGGCGGGAAGACGAATGTCCGCGGCACTGAGGCGAAAACCACATTTCGAAAACGACCCGCCGTCCATCCGTGAAACCCTTTCAAACTGTAAGGCGATTGTGCGCGGCGCTAAATCGATAATCACATTCTGAACCCGCCCTCCATCCGTGAAACCGGTGAAAATTGTGAGCTTCACATCTGACATGCATATCCGGCGAAACGTCGGGCCCGCACTGCCGACCCGTCTCGGGGTGCGACAGGCAGGAGGAGGAGGAGAAGGAGGAAATGTTCACAGGGGCAAAAGATGGAATGTACGAGGAGAAGGAGGAGGAAAAGAAGGTTTGGATGAGCATCGTTCAACCGACACCTTCCTCCGACGACGTGGCCTGGGCCCCGATAGCCGACTTCTCCCCCCAGATGGGAAGACAAGCTGCTTCCTTTCGGCTTCGAGGGGTATACACCCCACTGAGGCCGGGATGGTGGGGGTCTGGATGGGGATGGGGATTTTGGGTTAGGGTTAGGTCGGGCATGTCCCCCTACAGGTAGATTTTAAGCGACAAATGCAAACTACCCCAAACATACCCCAACATAGCGAACAAATGCTCAACAAATAGTACCCAGATATACCCCAACATAGCCAACACATGCTCAACAAATAGTACCCAGATCATGTTTGTAAAACTAATGAAAATTCCCCGTGTAGAGGGACAGGCCCGACTTAAGGTTAGGGGTCGATTAAACAATACCGACTGGAGGGTGGGATCGGCGGCGGGCCCGGGGGGGGTAAGAGGAGGGCCTTCCCAGAAGGCTCGGAATTTCCTGGCCATCTGATAGAGGGCGCCTCCTCCTCCCCCTCCTCTTCCTCCTCCGCACCCTCCTCCGCCCCCTCCTCCTCCTCCCTCCACCCCCTCCTCCTCCTCCTCCCCCTCCTCCTCCGCCCCCTCCTCCTCCGCCCCCTCCTCCTCCTCCCTCCTCCTCCTCCTCCTCCTCCTCCTCCTCCTCCCCCTCCTCCGCCCCCTCCCCCTCCTCCTTCTCCTCCTTCTCCTCCTTCTCCTCCTCCTCCTCCTCCTCCTCCTCCTCTTATTGTTCTTCTTACTAGTATTCGCATTAACAGTATTATTATTAGTATTCGTTTTATTATTCGTATTAGTGGTTAGTCTCAGTATTCGTATCCGTCTTATTATTGTTAGTAGTCTCCGTCTGTTTATGAGTATGTGTGTGTTGTTATTCGTGTTAGTATTAGTATTGTTCGTAGTGTGAGTATTATTACAATTCTTATTAATATTAGTAGTACTAGTATTAGTAATAGTATTATTATTATTATTATTATTATTATGATTAGCATTATTATTATTAATATTACCGCATAGACCACCCTTCGGGTGATAAGGAGGTGAGGGGGGGAGGGACCACCGTCGCACTCGATCGATCTCACTATCGATCTCACTATCGATCCCATTGTCGATCTCATTCGATCGATCTCACAATCGATCTGGCGATCGATCTCACAATCGATCCCACTATCGATCTCACTATCGATCTCGCATTCGGTCTCACTATCGATCTCACTATCGATATCACAATCGATATCACAATCGATCTCACATTCGGTATAACTATCGATCTCACTATCGATACCACTATCGATTTCATTCAACCGATGTCACAATCGATCTCACAATCGATCTCACAATCGGTATCACATTCGGTCTCACTATCGATCTCACTATCGATATCACAACCGATCTCACAATCGATCTCAATATCGAACTCACTATCGAAGTCATTATCGATCTCTCGTTCAGTCTCACTATCGATATCACAATCGATATCACAATCGATCTCACATTCGGTCTCACTATCGATCTCACTATCGAACTCACTATCGATCTCATTATCGATCTCACAATCGGTCTCACTATCGATATCACAAACGATCTCACAATCGATCTCACATTCGGTCTAACTACCGAACTCACCATCATCATCAACATCATCATCATCATCGGGACACCAGCGGGACACCGGCGGGACACCGCGGGCCCCCGGCCGCCCGGAAGGGAGACATTTGGTCCGGCCGCGCCTCAGCCACACGGGACACCAGCGGGACACCGGCGGGACACCGCGGGCCCCCGGCCGCCCGGAAGGGAGACATTTGGTCCGGCCGCGCCTCAGCCACAGGAGACTTTCTCTCGCCCGCCCACGCAGCTTCGCCTCGCCCGCACGGCACGCACGAACACGAAACCGAAATCGATTTCCCGGTAGGGGGGCTCTCACCCCCTACCTCACCTCCGATTATTATTATTATTCGTACGACTACTAATATTATTAGTATTATTCGTATTATCACTACTAGTAATATTACTGTTATTATTACTATTACCAGTATGATTGTGCTTAGTTTTCGTCTTCTTATTCTTCCTATTCCTCCTCCTCCTTCCCCACCACCTCCCCCTCCTCCTCCTCCTCCTCCTCCTCCTCCCCCTGCTCCTCCTCCTCCTCCCCCTCCTCCGCCCTCCTCCGCCCCCTCCGCCTCCTCCTCCTCCTCCTCATCCTCCTCCTCCTCCCTCCGCCCCCTCCGCCTCCTCCTCCTCCGCCCCCCTCCGCCTCCTCCTCCTCCTCCTCCTCTCCCCCTCCCCCTCCTCCTCCTCTTCCTCCTCCTCCTCCTCCTCCTCCTCCTCCTCCTCCTCCTCCTCCCCCCCTCCTCCGCCCCCTCCTACTCCGCCCCCTCCTCCACCTCCTCCTCCTCCTCCTCTTCCTCCTCCTCCTCCTCCTCCTCCCCCTCTCCTCCTCCGCCCCTCCTACTCCGCCCCCTCCCCCTCCTCCGCCTCCTTCTCCTCTTTCTCCTCTTTCTCCTCCTCCTCCTCCTCGTCCTCCTCCCCCTCTCAAGCCATTTGCGGCACGAGGGGGCGTCTTGGGAACGGGTCCCCTGCCCGCACGGCACTCGCGCGTCGTACCGTGCGTGGGCGGACACCAGCGTGCCCGCTACGCGCACCCACGGCTTGAGGGGCGCCCTCTCAGGCGGCGAAAGTCGAGTGTTGAACCGTTTTGTGATTTTGATGGGTCGCAGCGGGAGTGCGCGGGCTGAGAGCAGAGATGGCTCCAGGGCCCCATCTACGCACGACAAGCGTCGGCAAGCGTATTTTGTGTGCCGTTCGTGTCCTGGGTCTTGGGTGTATTGCAATCGCGCTGGAACTCCAGGGTGGGATTCTTGCCGCACTTGCCGAGTCCCGTCGCCCAAACAGTCTGCCAAGAAGGAGGTTTCTTTCGCCATCGAGGCTGCCGCCAGCTCCAGCCTACCCGAGCAGTTGCTCCCAAAGTACAAGCAGGCGCTCGCGGCCGAGCAGATGGACGCAGTCAAGGCCATGGAGCTGGTTTGTCCCGAGCTGGCCGAGGCTGCCAAGCCTCCACCTCCCAAGGTGCCCGAGATCTTGTTGGAGCAGCACGCCGCCACGCTCCAACGCCTCAACAGCTAATTACCAGGAGAAGCTCAAGAACCAGCTGGTGGCCAACGCCAAGCACGGGAAGGAGCTCTTGGAGAAGCTGGAGGAGAACGCTCGTGCCTGCGCTGAGGCACAGGCGGAGGTCAACCGCCTCACCAGTCTCACCTCGGCGGCGATGGGGGCAGCCAGCGGCGGCAACGCGCCAGAGGAGGCCAAGCCCGCTGGCGACCAGGCTTTCAACTTCCCCGAGCTCAGCACCGAGGACGTGGAGCTCCTCACCCCAGAGCAGAATGCGGCCTACGAGGAGGCGCTAGCCCACGCGCAGCAGGCGCAGCAGGCGCACAAGACCGCGGCGGATATCGGCCAGAAGGCGCAGAATGCGGCCAGCACGCTCAGGGAGCTCCGCGAGAAGGCCACCACAGCTAAGAGGCGCAAAGCCGACAGTGACGCAGGAGTTGCAGCTGGAGCACCAGACCCTGCAACTGCTGCAGGCGCCGATGGAGGCGAAGGAGCTGCCCCAGGAGGCGGCGCCATCGACTTCAGCGACCCCAAAAACGTCGACGCCTACATCCAGCGCACGGCGGCCATCAAGGCCAGGGAAGCGGCAGCGGACTCTGCCAAGGCCACTCCGGCTTCAAGGCCGGCGTCCTCAACGGCCACACCAACGGCAGGGGCACCTCCTACGTCAACGGCGGCGGCAGCGGCGAGGTCGAAGACGCCAGGAGGGTAACCGAGAACACGGACATCCACGAGTACGAATTCAGTTCAGCCAGCGCAGTTACGTCTCCATCTTCTTCGGGAATGTGTTAGCTATGGCAACGAGGTCAATAAGTATACCGAGCCAGCGCCCTACGACCTCATGGGTTTGGCTGAACATCACTTGCCGAAAGTATAGTGCCAGAGGCAGGACAGACGCCGACGCAATTTTGGTTGGAGGTCTGAAGGGACCTAGACTGATGCGTCGACTACGGGACGCTCGGACAACGGCACGCACGGGGGTGCGTGCTGGCTGCGACGGGCCCCCTACGCCACCAGCATCCACCTGGAGGGCTCCAAGGGAAAGAGCGTCTACCACGACGCGCTCTCCTCCTCCTCCTCCTCCTCCTCCTCCTCCTCCTCCTCCTCCTCCTCCTCCTCCTCCTACTCCGCACCAAAGCACGCCTGCCAGCGCCACAGCATGCCTCGGGGGCGCGCAACATGGATTAGCGATCCATGGATTTGGTGCGCGGTCGCCAAATCCATTGATCGGGGGATGTGCGCTCCCCAAAATGCGGCCGGTGCCGCCTTG